AGCAAACACTTTTGAAAAAATAATTAAAGGACTAAATGTGACAACAATTACCTTAATACTTATTCTACACCCTCCATCAAGGTGATAATACTTGACAGCACGAATAGAATGCATTCAACTGGATGATAATTTTGTTTGCTCTCCTTTTATTTCAGGAATTGTACAAAGAGATTGTGTTCCACATGCAAACGAATCCCACCGATGAAAGTATAATAAAGAAGGATGAGATACAGAGGTAAGAGGGATGCTTGATTGGCGGAAATAGTTTTTCATACACTGTGAATACCCCTTTCTTACCTTTAAAGGTTCTTTTTAATTAGTGGAGAAACAGAAAACAGTCAGCATTGAAACCGTATACCTAATGCCCAACATTTTTCGCACCAAGTTCACTAATTGCCTTCTACATCAGTATTAGTATTATTGTTATATTAAATTTCCTCGCATTTTCTGATTTCAAATTATAATTTCAGTCAAAATGTTATAGGGTGACAAAGCCCTCTGAGGTAAACAACTTTATTTATATAGTCCTAAGGAAAATAGCACAAAGTATCAAACAGATTCGTAGACTAGTGCTAAACCTACCATAAGGGCACATTAGCTCAAGTCACTGCACTTTGAACAAAAATGCAAAAGTACATGAGTGCAAGTTGGGTGATTAACAATACAGCAAATATACTAAAAATATTATGCCCATTTTATTCAAGCAATTTTTGATCAAAAGTCATTGAATTGATAGCTGACAAAGTTCTAAATTAGTTAGAGTAGGATATGTGTTCACCGATAAACTTCAAACTGCTTTGGTGATTCACTGTTAGAATGTTCGCCAACCATGCACCTGGTCCATATTCGACGTACTACTAAAGCTCATCTAGCCAGCAGTAAGCCCGAATACATTGACCGTAAGGTTATCATCCCCATTTTGTAGTAATAACACCACCGCCATTGAATTTTCAGAGCTTGAAGCACCATGTTTCACTCAGAATGCGTAGAATGAAGAAAAGCCTTTCAAATTAGTTTGCATAACATAGCATCAGTTGACTAAACTTTACCCAGTGAATAAAGTTTGAGAATCAATATTACTCATGAAACCAAGGATGTAAAATATCTTTGAGACATGACATTCGCGGTTGTTCTGCTTCGTTTTCTTTGATTTATAAGACAATGAATTGTTCCACACGTCCCTGATATTGGTCTTGATCCAGTTGATTTGTTAAACAAGGATTTGATTGTTTGTTGCCTATATAACAACAACGTATCGGATTTGCATATCTTCTCTGAAGTGCTGAGATCACCACTGACATAAGCCATCTCATAATAGTCAAGTAATTCAACTAAATGAGCATGGATAAATAACAGATTGAATAAAAAGACTAGTCAACTACTGTGTGACAGACAATCAAATCAAGGTGACCTTTGAAGATGAAAGAAAAATTTGCGAATTCATTGTCTCATAGTTAATTTCCTGTCTAAGACGTACAGAAAATATCTCTATCATGGAGATTTAATATCCGCTGTACCATCTACAGTGTAGGATAGATACTTGATGTATTGTTCACTGTATTGAGTACGGGCTATTTTTATTTATTCATTGTTCCCTTGGGTTCCTAGTGGAACATAGGGCCTCAACTGCACGTCTCCACTTGCTTCTGTATTCTGCTGTACTTTTCACTTGCATCCATGTTAATCCATACTGTTTCAGTCCCTGTTCACACGATCTCCATGTCACCCTTGTACGTCCCACTCATCGCTTCCCTCTCGGGTTTCACTCGAGGGCCTGACGCGCGATGTCACCCAGTGGCCTCCTCAGCGAGTGTCCAATCCATCGCCACATTCTTCTGCATATTTGTTGGGCGATTGGTTCTTGCTTTGTTTGTTCCCATAGTTTCTTGTTGGTGATTCTTTCCGGCCATCTGATCTTCAGTATAGAGCGAAGACAGTTGTTGATAAAGGTCTGCAACAGGCTGTTGGAAATATTCTTTGTGACACACTGGCCAAGTTTCTGATCCGTGTAGAAGAACTGACTGACTTGACGTTTGTATTGAAAATCGGAATGTTGTTGTTGATGCTGAGTGACGGAGATTTCCAGATTGGTTTCAGGTTGATGAATGTGTTTCTCGCCTTCCCGATTCTCGATTTGACATCCTCGTCCGTTCCTCCTGTAGTTGAGACAATGCTCCCTAGATAAGTGAATGAAGTAACCTCTTTCAAATCCCTCCCGTTGATGGTGATTGGCGCTGGATGTTGCTGTTGTTGGTTGGTTATATTCATAACCTCCGTCTTGTCTGTGTTCACCTGGAGTCCTGTCTTTGCTGCTACTTCGACCAGTTTGTCAGTTTTCGCTTGTAAGTCTTCGATCTTGTGTGACATCAAACATAAATCATCCGCAAAATCCAGGTCTTCTAAGTTCTTCACGTCGGTCCAGGATATCCCTGTCTTCTCGTTTCCCACTGTCTGACGCATAATCCAGTCCACCACAATTAGGAATATCATTGGTGATAATAAGCACCCTTGTCTGACTCCTGTGTTTACTCCAAACGCCTCGTTGCGTTTTCCGTTGTGGATCACTTGACATGTGCCGTTGTCGTACAGCTGTTGAATAAGGTTGATGAATATTTGGGTTATGCCGTAGTACTCGAGCAGTTTCCAAATTACTTCGCGGTCAACGCTGTCGAAGGCCTTCTCAAAGTCTATGAAGTTGAGGTAGAGGTTTGATTGCCATTCCATGCTTTGTTCGATGATGTTTCGTAGAGTTGCAATTTGGTCAGAACATGATTTGCCTTTCCTGAATCCAGCTTGTTCTGGTCGGAATTCTGTATCCAGTGCGTCCTTTATTCTCTCCAGGATGATGCGACTCAGGATTTTACTTGGCGTCGACAGGAGCATGATTCCTCGGCAGTTCTTGCAGAGTGAGGCCTAAGTCGCCCTTCTCTTTTAGTTTCACAAGGTAACCTTTCCTCCAGGGCTAAATCAACTTCATTTATCTACCTACTGAATAATTTATTGCTATGAAAGACGTTGATTATCGCTAAGTGACTAATTTAGTGGATACTAACCTCCCCTAGCTTACTGGACGGTGCAAAGCCCAGAAAAAGAGGGAAGGTTCTACATGGGGCTAGCCACTCCATTCAGAAAGATTAATTCAGTCGTTACAGAGGAATCAAATATCACGGGATAATGAAAGTCTTCAGAAAACCAGTCAGCCAATATGTGTTAATTTGATGAAAGCAAAAATAACTGTAGGGACACTGAATGTCCACACAGTGTCTGAAGCTGACTGGTGAGCCAGTAAGATTCCATCAAAAACCCTAGAAACTTACAACTGTCCAATACTACGTGCCTACAAACGAAGCAGATCAAGAAAACAAGGGAAACTTCTACAGACAGTTGCATGCAGTGAAGGACAGGACATCAAATAGCGATATCGAAATCCTAATGAGTGATATGAATACCAGTTTAGGAGTAAACAACACAGGAGGCGAATTCATCCCAGATAGGGAGGCCCTCATAAAAATGTCTGAGAATGGAGAACCATGTACACACTTCTGAGCCTTCAATGACTTGGTGATAGGCAGTACGCACAAGCACAAGGGTATACACAGGGAAACATGGGCTTAACCTGACTGACATGCCAAAATTAAGCAGGCTTTCTCTCGATCTTGAGGAAGCGGAAACGCAGCCTGACAGATACAAAATCCGGAAGAGAAGCAGAAGTGGGCCTAAACCACTTTTAAGTGAAAATAATACTCAAGATCAAATTGAAAGCATTCAGAGCAGCTGGGGTAGTCTACAATTCACGTTCAACACTCGGGAACCATTAGGGCAGCGACCAGAGAACAGTCGGAGACTCTTTGTGGTACCATGAGGAAGAGCTATGTGGAAGAACACTGGAATCCTATTATAGTGATTCTGAAGGAAACCTGTGCAGCCTTCTTAGGAAAGGAGAAGAGTCAAGTCAAGGAACGGCTGTCTAAGGACACGTTCAAGATAACAGAAGAGAGGAGGATGGTGAAAGAGAAACTGAACCGTTGCAAATATGGCTGATATGATTATGAGCAATAAATTGTGCTCGGAACGTCATCAATAAATATTACTGTATAACACTGTGCGATTTTATCGAAATAAAAATCTTATTCATAGCGAAGGGAGGAACTGAATTGAATCTACAGCTCATCAAAGTAAGCACTGAGCAGCGTGAGGAAAGACAAACGATCATTCGAAAACACACTGCTAAGTGAAGCAGAAGAGCCTGCAGGTAAACGATACATCGCAACATTATGTTGGATAACCAGGTCGCTAATGGGAGAAGAAGTCAACACAGATGAAACCAACGAGACTTGAGAGTATAGGAAAGACAATTACTAGAGAGGAGTAACAAAGGAAACAATGGGCTGATCATTTCAAATGACTCTTGAACCCACCACCACCTGCAGATCGTACAGAAATACCACTAACAGCAAACGAAAACTCAATGAGAAACTACTCTCTAGACGAAACATAAGTCTAGAATGACACAAGCTTTCTAAAAGCCAGAAAGCCCACGGGACTAGCTGAGTTTACAGTTTACAATTTATTTAGGATAGTAGGCTATATGCCTGTGTTAATCCTTTCGATTCGTGGCATACAGGAGGTCCAATCTCGCCTTGAATGAATCAACGGATGGCGCTGATACGACGTGTTCCGGTAGGGAGTTCCAATGGTTCACAATTCGATGCGGAAAACGGATCCCCTGACGCAGACGATTCAACCGTGGTTTTTGAACCTTGAGGTGATGTCCTCGCAATTGGTTGGTGCTAGAAGGAAGAAATAAATTAGATAAATTAGCTCCAAAATCATTTCTTAGGATACGGTATGCTAGTATTAGGTCACCCCTAAGTCGTCTGTATGATAGTGGAAATAAATTCAGTCGACTTAACCTCTCCTCATATGAGAGGGTTGAGAAACCCTTTATTAGCTTAGTTCCTACTCTTTGCACCCTTTCTAATAAGTCTATTTCGTATTTTAAACACGGGCTCGTTGCCTGGATCCCATATTCCAAATGAGGTCTGATATAAGTCGGATATAATATACGAAATATTTCAGCGTCAAAATTCGCAAAAGCCTTGCGTATGGCCCATAATATTCGGAAACCCTTAGTGGCTGCAGCTCTACAGTTTGTTGCTGTTTTCAAGTCATGCTGCACAACCACTCCCAAGTCCTTGTACTCATTGACCACTGGGAGAGTAATGCCATCCATTG